ATTCGAACCCGCCACCTTAGGTGTATGTGGCTGGCGTCTTAGCTGCTTGAGCCACAGGTGCCGAGCCTTGAAGTATGTTTTTAAGAGATTGGCAAAACTTGAATGGGGTCTCGGGATAGATGGTAATAATTTATTAATGTTGATTTACTATTTTTGATGATTGTGTCATGGTCATATTGGAGAGCGTCCCTGTTTATAAAAAGTGTTCACCAAAGTATTTGGGAGTGATAGAACATCAGATCAGCAACTTACTTGCAAATGGTTTCAAAAGAAAAAATGATTTTTAAATGTATTAATACTTGCAACTCTGTGCTCACTTCAGTAATGTATATACTAAAATTAGAATAATACAGAGAAGATTAGCAAAGCCCCTGCACAAAAATGACACGTAAATTCGTGAAGCATTCCATATTTTTAAATCATGAAAAAAAACCATATCACAGTTAAGATTGACTTCTAATCACCCAGTTGTTCTTGGCCCAAACAATACCAGTCTTCCCAAAATATTCCGTATAATTGCAGAAGGAGAAATGCACGAGGCATTTAAACACAAACGTCCTTATGCCAAATATCTGGCTAATGTGGTTTACCAAGTACAGAATTCTGGAGGGTTATGGACGGAATGCATTGCACAGCTCAGTCCCCAGCAGCAGGCAGCCCTCCAGGAACTCCTGAATTCTACTTGAAGGGTCTTAATACCACCCACCAGAAAACTAACTCCAAATAAACATTTGCTCTTTTGTTTAAAAAAAAAATACTTGCAACTTTTTGTAAGTTTGAGGTTGGTGAAAATAAATTATATCAAGAACCTAGGGAAACATTTCGATATTTCACCATTAAGTATGGTGTTAGCTGAGTCTTTTTTTAGCAGATTAAGGACGTACCTATCTTACTATAATGGCCAAAATTGAATTTTATCACTTTCTTAGTATCTACTAAAATTTTCAGGTAATGTGTCTCCTTTTTTACCGGGTAACAAGGTGAGGTTACTCTGTTTCTTTTCAAACGTTATACTAATATCGGATTCCTGGGATAAACCCAACTTGTTTATGATATACTCCCTTTTTAATATGTTGCTGGATTTGATTTCCTAGTATTTTGCACAGGGTTTTTGCATCTGTGATTAGTTGGGTATCTAGATCATACCAGCCTTGTAAGATGAATTACAGAATCCTTTCTTTTTCCTCTCTCTTTAAAATGCTCTGAAAGAGTTTGGGGAAGATTGGAGACATAGA